CTCCCGTGTCCGGCTGCCCCCTCGGGCACCCTGTCTGGCCTGTACCTCCCCTCGTTCTCGACGAACTTGGTGAGTGGTGCAGACCTACAGGATGCGGGGGTTCACCAGTTCACTCCTGCGAGTCAGCGGGTGACCCACTGCACGGACGCACGCACAGGCCGGCACCTGGCCACGTTCTCGCGTCGGCCGGGGTCGAGCCTCTACACCCTGACCACTGAGTCTCCTCCTGTCCCCGCGTCCAGTCAGGTAGCAGCGTCGGGTCAGGTGTTTGCTGCTGCGTCCAGGTCTGGTCCTGAGTCTGCCCCCTGTTCGTGTCGCCTCCTGTCTCACGAGACTCTTCTGTGGCACCACCGTCTAGGCCACCCCTCCTTGCCCCGTCTTCGGGGCATGGCTTCCCGTGTCCTTGTCTCTGGTCTTCCCCAGTCTCTCCTCCCCTTCCTTCGGGACCAGGACCTTCCTGTGTCCCCTGTGTCGAGGGGCGCCTCAGGGCTGCTCCTCACTCCTCCCAGTTTCCCCCGACAGAGGCTCCTCTGCAGACGCTTCACATGGACGTGTGGGGCCCGGCCCCCGTCCGTGGGCAGGGTCACGAGCGCTACTTCCTGTTGGTGGTTGACGACTACTCGCGTTACACCTCAGTCTTCCCCTTGCGCAGCAAGGGTGCTGTCACTGAGGTGCTGATCGACTGGATCCGCGAGGCTCGTCTCCAGCTCAGGAGGAGCTTCGGCTCGGACTTTCCTGTTCTGCGTCTGCACTCTGACCGAGGTGGGGAGTTCTCCTCTCGCCTTCTGCGAGACTACTGTCGTGCACAGGGGATCCGCCAGACCTTTACGCTTCCGGACTCTCCACAGCAAAATGGGATTGCTGAGCGCCGCATTGGCATGGTCATGGATGTCGCTCGTACGTCCATGATGCATGCGGCTGCCCCCCATTTTCTGTGGCCGTTTGCGGTTCGGTACGCGGCGCATCAGCTCAACCTTCACCCCAGGGTCTCTCGGCCCGCGATGTCCCCAGTGTTACTGTGGACGGGGAAGGTCGGCGATGCGTCTGCGTTTCCGTGTCTGGGGATCTCGGGCGTTTGTCCGCGACTTGTCTGCGGACAAGCTGTCCCCCCGTGCTGCTCCCTGTGTCTTCCTTGGCTTCCCCCCTGACGCTCCAGGGTGGCAGTTCTACCACCCCTCCTCTCGTCGTGTTCTGTCCTCCCAGGACGTCACGTTCGACGAGTCAGTCCCCTTCTACCGCCTCTTCCCCTACCGTACTCCTTCCCTTCCCCCCCCACCGGACTTCCTGGTACCAGTTCCCCCCCCGGTAGACCCCCTCCCCCCTCAGGTTCCTGCCCCTTCAGGTGTGTCCCAGGTAGACACGGTCGAGCCAGTCGAGGTTGCTGCTGAGTCTGGTCCTGCTGCGGGTGCTGAGCCTGGGGGTGCTGCTGCTGGGGGTGCTGAGCCTGGGGGTGCTGAGCCTGGGGGTGCGAGGGCCGGGGGGTGCTGAGTCTGGGGGTGCTGAGCCGGGGGGGTGCTGAGCCGGAGGGTGCTACGTCAGGAGCTGCTGAGCCTGGGGGTGCTGGGCCTGGAGGTGCGGAGCCTGCGCCTGCTGGACCTGGGGGCTCTCCGGTTCTTCCGTCTCGGCGGGAGCCGCTCTCTCCACAGGAGCTGCGCGAGTGGTTTGCTCGCCGCTGGAGGCGTGCTGCTGGAGCTGGAGCTTCTTCGCCTGCTGAGGGTGCTGCCGGTCCCGGAGCTGCTGGGCCTGCGGGTCCTACTGGAGCTGGAGCTACTGAGTCTGGGGGTGCTGAGTCTGGAGCTGCTGAGCCTGGAGGTGCTGAGTCTGGAGCGGCTGTGCCTGGGGGTGCTGAGTCTGGAGCTGCTGAGCCTGGGGTTTCTCCTGCTGCTGCGTCTCGCCGGGAAGCCCCTCTCTCCACAGGAGCTGCGTGAGTGGTTTGCTCGCCGCTGGAGGAGTGCTGCTGGAGCTGGAGCTTCGTCGACCGTCGAGGGTGCTGGTGCTGCCGGTCCCGGAGCTGCTGGGCCTGCGGGGTCCTACTGGAGCTGGAGCTGCTGAGGGTGTTGGTGCTGAGACTACTGCTGTCTGTCCTGGCGGTGGTTCTGCTGCTGGTGCTGCTGGAGGTCCTGCCGCTGGAGGTGTTGGTGGCGCTGGTGCTGTCGCTGAGGGTGCTGGTGCTGTCCCTGCTGAGTCTGGAGCTGCCGCGCGGCCTCGGCCGTACTTCGTTCCGCTCCTACAGCAGGTTCTTGGTCTTTCTCCTTCGGTCGAGTGTCCACAGCCTGTCCAGTCGCAGTCACTGTTGGAGCCTTCCTCTCCTCTGCCTGCTCCCTCTCCTTACACTGGTCCTACTGGAGGTCTTGCTGAGCGTCGTGAGCCTGCGTCTCGTCCCGCGTCGCCTGTTCGTGCTGCTTGCGCTAGTGGTCGCGGTTCGCGTCAGCGTCCTCCTCCTGTCCCTGGCACGCACCGGATGTCTCTGCGTCCGTCCACTGCTCCTCTGCGTGCCCCTTTGCCTTCTCCTCCTGAGTCCTCTCTTCCTGCGCTTGCCGACCCTGAGTCGGACTCTCTTCGCGCTGCCAGTCCTACTGTCACGCGTCTGCTTGCTACTGTCGTCACTGACCCCTCTTTTGAGTCCACTGCTGCGTCTGCTCTAGTCGCTGAGCTCGTTGACTTTGCTGCTCGCTGTCGTCTCGACTACGCTGCTGGTCTTGTTGCTGAGTCTGCGTCTGTCTGTCCTCCGTCCGTCGGGGGTGAGTGTGCTCTTGGCACGGACGTCCTAGAGGACAGACAGGAGGAGTTACAGTGTCTAGCGGCTGCTTCACCTCATCTCGCGTCTGTACTGCTTGCCCTGAGGGAGACCCGGATGCACTAGACATCCCGACTCCGCGTTCTTACGCGGAGGCCGTAGAGGGTCCCTACTCCTCTCAGTGGCAGGCAGCTATGGATGCAGAGATGGCTTCCTGGAAGTCCACAGGCACCTACGTTGACGCGGTTCCCCCTCCTGGGGCGAACATCGTCAGTGGCATGTGGATCTTCAGGGTGAAGCGGCCGCCGGGCTCTCCACCTGTCTTCAAGGCGCGGTACGTTGCTCGTGGCTTCAGTCAGCGGCAGGGAGTTGACTACTTTCAGACCTTCTCTCCCACCCCGAAGATGACCACTCTTCGGGTGCTGCTGCACATAGCCGCTCAGCGCGACTACGAGCTTCACTCTCTCGACTTTAGCACTGCGTTCCTGCAGGGTAGCCTGCACGAGGAGATCTGGCTGCGCCGTCCACCTGGCTTCACTGGGACTTTCCCTCCAGGCACCCAGTGGAGCCTCCGACGGCCAGTCTACGGTCTCCGCCAGGCACCGCGTGAGTGGCACGACACACTGAGGACTACGCTTGCGGCTCTTGGGTTTGCTCCTTCTACTGCTGACCCGTCGCTGTTTCTGCGCACCGACACTTCACTGCCGCCGTTCTACATCCTCGTGTACGTCGACGACTTGGTCTTTGCCACAGCGGACACTGCTGGACTCGCCTACGTGAAGTCCGAACTGCTGAAGAGACACACGTGCACAGACCTGGGTGAACTGCGCAGCTACCTTGGCTTGCAGATCACTCGGGACAGAGCACGCCGCACCATTACCTTGACTCAGTCACACATGGTGCAGCAGGTCCTTCAGCGCTTCGGCTTCACGTACTCCTCGCCTCAGGCCACTCCTCTGCCTACTCGCCACTCACTCTCAGCTCTGCCTTCGGATGAGTCCGTAGAGTCGAGTGGTCCGTATGCAGAGCTTGTTGGCTGCCTCATGTACCTGATGACCTGCACACGACCTGACCTTGCATACCCTCTGAGCATTCTTGCACGCTATGTTGCTCCTGGGAGACACAGACCAGAGCACATGGCTGCAGCGAAGAGGGTATTGCGCTACCTGTGCAGTACGTCGGGCATGGGGCTTGTGCTTGGAGGGCGGAGTCCAGTGGTCCTTACCGGCCACGCGGACGCTTCTTGGGCTGACGACCAGGCTACGCAGCGGTCGTCACAGGGTTACACCTTCAGCCTTGGTTCCGGCTCTGTCTCGTGGCGGTCTACTCGCTCGTCTTCGGTTCTCGGCTCCAGTTGTGAGGCTGAGATCTACGCCGGGGCCATGGCTGCACAGGAGCTTCGCTGGCTCACCTACCTGCTGACTGACCTTGGAGAGCCGCCTCGTTCTCCTCCAGTGCTGTACGTAGACAACAAGGCCATGCTGGCCTTGTGTCGAGAGCAGCGCTTGGAGCACAGAACGAAGCACATTGCTCTCCGCTACTTCCTTGCTCGTGAGCTGCAGCAGCGTGGTCAGTTGCGACTTGCGTACGTGGCCTCTGAGGCCAACACTGCTGATGTGTTCACCAAGGCACTCGCGCCTTGTGATCATCAGCGCTTTTGCACCCAGCTGGGTCTTGTGTCTGTCTTGCCTCACTTGCTCTCCTCTTGACTTTACTTGTACTGTGACATATATATACCTGCTCTTGCTTGTCTAGTTTTATATATATGTCTGTACTCCTGCATGTGAACTGGCCTCTGGCCCTGCTCTTGTGCTCGGACTGTGTGGTGACTTTGTGATCCACCCTGAGCTTGCTTTGCTTTGCTTGACTGGTCTTGTGACCCCTTGTTCTCCCCCCACTTTGCCTATGGGGGTGTGTCAAACATTATATATGTTATGCTTGTGTAGGCTACAGTGGGGTTAGCCTATAGGGGGTACACAATTCTAGGGTTTACTACTTGTACTCATTTTCACTTCTAGTTCATTCATTCCTGTTCGCTTATTCTCACACACGTCCACGTCCACGTCCACGTGCACGTCCACGTCCACGTGCACGTCCACGTCCACGTCTACGTCCACGTCCACGTCCACGTCCACGTCCATGTCCACCTCCACGTCCACGTCCACCTCCACGTCCACGTCCATGTCCACGTCCACGTCCACATCCATGTCCACAGTCCATGTCCACGTCCACGTCCACGTCACGTCCACGTCCATTTCCACAGTCACAAGTCCACGTCCATGTCCACGTCCACGTCCACGTCCACGTCCACGTCCACGTCCACGTCCACGTCCACGTCCATGTCCACCTCCACGTCCACGTCCATGTCCACGTCCACGTCCACGTTTACGACCATGTCCACGTCCATGTCCACGTCCACGTCCACGTCCATGTCCATGTCCACGTCCTTGTCCACGTCCATGTCCACGTCCACGTCCACGTCCATGTCCACGTCCATGTCCACCTCCACGTCCACGTCCACGTCCATGTCCACGTCCAAGTCCACGTCCATGTCCACGTCCACGTCCACGTCCATGTCCACGTCCACGTCCACGTCCATGTCCACGTCCACGTCCATGTCCACGTCCACGTCCACGTCCACGACCATGTCCATGTCCACGTCCACGTCGACGTCCACGTCCACGTCCACGTCCATGTCCACGTCCACGTCCACGTCCATGTCGACGTCCACGTCCACGTCCACGACCATGTCCACGTCCACGTCCACGTCCATGCCCATGTCCATGTCCACGTCCACGTCCATGTCCACGTCCACGTCCACGTCCATGTCCATGTCCACGTCCACGTCCATGTCCATGTCCACGTCCACGTCCACGTCCATGTCCACCTCCACGTCCACGTCCATGTCCACGTCCACGTCCACGTCCACGTTTACGACCATGTCCACGTCCACGTCCACGTCCATGTCCATGTCCACGTCCTTGTCCACATCCATGTCCATGTCCACGTCCACGTCCACGTCCATGTCCACGTCCATGTCCACCTCCACGTCCACGTCAATGTCCACGTCCAAGTCCACGTCAATGTCCACGTCCACGTCCACGTCCACGTCCACGTCCACGTCCACGTGCACGTCCACGTCCACGTCCACGTCTACGTCCACGTCCACGTCCACGTCCATGTCCACGTCCACGTCCACGTCCATGTCCATGTCCACGTCCACGTTCATGTCTACGTCCACGTCCACGTCCACGTCCATGTCCACCTCCACGTCCACGTCCATGTCCACGTCCACGTCCACGTCCACGTTTACGACCATGTCCACGTCCATGTCCACGTCCACGTCCATGTCCATGTCCACGTCCTTGTCCACGTCCATGTCCACGTCCACGTCCACGTCCATGTCCACGTCCATGTCCACCTCCACGTCCACGTCCATGTCCATGTCCACGTCCAAGTCCACGTCCATGTCCACGTCCACGTCCACGTCCACGTCCATGTCCACGTCCACGTCCACGTCCATGTCCACGTCCACGTCCATGTCCACGTCCACGTCCACGTCCACGACCATGTCCACGTCCACGTCCACGTCGACGTCCACGTCCACGTCCACGTCCATGTCCACGTCCACGTCCACGTCCATGTCCACGTCCACGTCCACGTCCACGACCATGTCCACGTCCACGTCCACGTCCATGCCCATGTCCATGTCCACGTCCACGTCCATGTCCACGTCCACGTCCACGTCCATGTCCATGTCCATGTCCACGTCCACGTCCATGTCCACGTCCACGTCCACGTCCACGTCCATGTCCACCTCCACGTCCACGTCCATGTCCACGTCCACGTCCACGTCCACGTTTACGACCATGTCCACGTCCATGTCCACGTCCACGTCCACGTCCATGTCCATGCCGACGTCCTTGTCCACATCCATGTCCATGTCCACGTCCACGTCCACGTCCATGTCCACGTCCATGTCCACCTCCACGTCCACGTCAATGTCCATGTCCAAGTCCACGTCCATGTCCACGTCCACGTCCACGTCCACGTCCATGTCCACGTCCACGTCCACGTCCATGTCCACGTCCACGTCCATGTCCACGTCCACGTCCACGTCCACGTCCATGTCCACGTCCACGTCCACGTGCACGTCCATGTCCACGTCCACATCCACGTCTACGTCCATGTCCACGTCCACGTCCATGTCCACGTCCACGTCCACGTCCATGTCCATGTCCACGTCCTTGTCCACGTCCATGTCCATGTCCACGTCCACGTCCACGTCCATGTCCACGTCCATGTCCACTCCTGGACGCGGACGTGGACGTCCACGTCCATGTCCATGTCCACGTCCAAGTCCACGTCCATGTCCACGTCCACGTCCACGTCCACGTCCATGTCCACGTCCACGTCCACGTCCATGTCCACGTCCACGTCCATGTCCACGTCCACGTCCATGTCCACGTCTATGTCCACGTCCACGTCCACGTCCACGTCCACGTCCACGTCCACGTCCACGTCCACGTCCACGTCCACGTCCACGTCCACGTCCATGTCCACGTCCACGTCCACGTCCATGTCCATGTCCATGTCCACGTCCACGTCCATGTCCACGTCCACGTCCACGTCCACGTCCATGTCCACCTCCACGTCCACGTCCATGTCCACGTCCACGTCCACGTCCACGTTTACGACCATGTCCACGTCCATGTCCACGTCCACGTCCACGTCCATGTCCATGTCCATGTCCTTGTCCACGTCCATGTCCACGTCCACGTCCACGTCCATGTCCACGTCCATGTCCACCTCCACGTCCACGTCCACGTCCATGTCCACGTCCAAGTCCACGTCCATGTCCACGTCCACGTCCACGTCCACGTCCATGTCCACGTCCACGTCCACGTCCATGTCCACGTCCACGTCCATGTCCACGTCCACGTCCACGTCCACGACCATGTCCACGTCCACGTCCACGTCCACGTCCACGTCCACGTCCATGTCCACGTCCACGTCCACGTCTATGTCCACGTCCACGTCCACGTCCACGACCATGTCCACGTCCACGTCCACGTGCACGTCCATGTACACGTCCATCTGGTCCACGTCCATGTCCATGTCCACGTCCATGTCCACGTCCACATCCATGTCCACGTCCATGTCCATGTCCACGTCCACGTCCATGTCCACGTCCACGTCCACGTCCACGTCCACGTCCAGGTCCACGTCCACGTCCACGTCCAGGTCCACGTCCACGTCCACGTCCACGTCCAGGTCCACGTCCACGTCCACGTCCACGTCCACGTGCACGTCCACGTCCACGTCCACGTCCACGTCCATGTCCACGTCCACGTCCACGTCCATGTCCATGTCCACGTCCTTGTCCACGTCCATGTCCACGTCCACGTCCACGTCCATGTCCACGTCTATGTCCACGTCCACGTCCACGTCCACGTCCATGTCCACGTCCACGTCCACGTCCACCATGTCCACGTCCACGTCCACGTCCACGTCCATGTCCACGTCCACGTCCACGTCCATGTCCATGTCCACGTCCACGTCCATGTCCACGTCCACGTCCACGTCCACGTCCAAGTCCACGTCCACGTCCACGTCCACGTCCACGTCCACGTCCACGTCCACGTCCATGTCCACGTCCACGTCTACGTCCACGTCCACGTCCACGTCCATGTCCACGTCCACGTCCACGTCCATGTCCATGTCCATGTCCACGTCCACGTCCATGTCCACGTCCACGTCCATGTCCACGTCCATGTCCACCTCCACGTCCACGTCCATGTCCACGTCCACGTCCACGTCCACGTTTACGACCATGTCCACGTCCATGTCCACGTCCACGTCCACGTCCATGTCCATGTCCACGTCCTTGTCCACGTCCATGTCCACGTCCACGTCCACGTCCATGTCCACGTCCATGTCCACCTCCACGTCCACGTCCACGTCCATGTCCATGTCCAAGTCCACGTCCATGTCCACGTCCACGTCCACGTCCATGTCCACGTCCACGTCCACGTCCACGTCCACGTCCACGTCCATGTCCACGTCCATGTCCACGTCCACGTCCACGTCCACGTCCACGTCCACGTCCATGTCCTCGTCCACGTCCACGTCCTCGTCCATGTCCATGTCCACGTCCACGTCCACGTCCATGTCCACGTCCACGTCCACGTCCACGTCCATGACCTCGTCCACTTCCACGTCCACGTCCATGTCCATGTCCACGTCCACGTCCACGTCCACGTCCACGTCCATGTCCACGTCCACGTCCACGTCCACGTCCACGTCCATGTCCACGTCCATGTCCACGTCCACGTTCACGTCCACGTCCACGTGCACGTCCACGTCCACGTCCACGTCCACGTCCACGTTCACGTCCATGTCCATGTCCACGTCCATGTCCACGTCCATGTCCACCTCCACGTCCACGTCCACGTCCATGTCCACGTCCAAGTCCACGTCCATGTCCACGTCCACGTCCACGTCCATGTCCACGTCCACGTCCACGTCCACGTCCACGTCCACGTCCATGTCCACGTCCATGTCCACGTCCACGTCCACGTCCACGTCCACGTCCATGACCTCGTCCACATCCACGTCCTCGTCCATGTCCATGTCCACGTCCACGTCCACGTCCATGTCCACGTCCACGTCCACGTCCACGTCCATGACCTCGTCCACGTCCACGTCCACGTCCATGTCCATGTCCACGTCCACGTCCACGTCCACGTCCACGTCCATGTCCACGTCCACGTCCACGTCCACGTCCACGTCCATGTCCACGTCCATGTCCACGTCCACGTCCACGTCCATGTCCACGTCCACGTTCACGTCCACGTCCACGTCCACGTCCACGTCCATGTCCACGTCCACGTCCACGTCCACGTCCATGTCCATGTCCATGTCCACATCCACGTCCATGTCCACGTCCACGTCCACGTCCACGTCCATGTCCACCTCCACGTCCACGTCCATGTCCACGTCCAAGTCCACGTCCACGTCCATGTCCAAGTCCATGTCCACGTCCATGTCCACGTCCACGTCCACGTCCACGTCCACGTCCACGTCCACGTCCACGTCCACGTCCACGTCCACGTCCACGTCCATGTCCACGTCCACGTCCACGTCCATGTCCATGTCCACGTCCACGTCCATGTCCACGTCCACGTCCACGTCCACGTCCATGTCCACCTCCACGTCCACGTCCATGTCCACGTCCACGTCCACGTCCACGTCCACGTCCACGACCATGTCCACGTCCATGTCCACGTCCACGTCCATGTCCATGTCCACGTCCATGTCCACGTCCATGTCCACGTCCACGTCCACGTCCATGTCCACGTCCATGTCCACCTCCACGTCCACGTCCACGTCCATGTCCACGTCCAAGTCCACGTCCATGTCCACGTCCACGTCCACGTCCACGTCCACGTCCATGTCCACGTCCACGTCCACGTCCATGTCCACGTCCACGTCCATGTCCACGTCCACGTCCACGTCCACGTCCACGTTTACGACCATGTCCACGTCCATGTCCACGTCCACGTCCATGTCCATGTCCACGTCCATGTCCACGTCCATGTCCACGTCCACGTCCACATCCACGTCCATGTCCACCTCCACGTCCACGTCCATGTCCACGTCCACGTCCACGTCCACGTCCACGTTTACGTCCATGTCCACGTCCATGTCCACGTCCACGTCCACGTCCATGTCCATGTCCACGTCCATGTCCACGTCCATGTCCACGTCCACGTCCATGTCCACGTCCATGTCCACGTCCACGTCCACGTCAATGTCCACGTCCAAGTCCACGTCCATGTCCACGTCCACGTCCACGTCCACGTCCATGTCCACGTCCACGTCCACGTCCATGTCCACGTCCACGTCCATGTCCACGTCCACGTCCACGTCCATGTCCACGTCCACGTCCACGTCCACGTCCACGTCCACGTCCACGTCCACGTCCACGTCCACGTCCACGTCCACGTCCACGTCCACGTCCACGTCCACGTCCACGTCCACGTCCACGTCCACGTCCACGTCCACGTCCACGTCCATGTCCACGTCCACGTCCACGTCCATGTCCACGTCCACGTCCATGTCCACGTCCATGTCCACGTCCACGTCCACGTCCACGTCCATGTCCACGTCCATGTCCACGTCCACGTCCACGTCCACGTCCACGTCCACGTCCACGTCCACGTCCACGTCCACGTGTCCACGTCCACGTCCACGTCCACGTCCACGTCCACGTCCATGTCCACGTCCACGTCCATGTCCACGTCCACGTCCACGTCCACGTCCATGTCCACGTCCACGTCCACGTCCACGTCCACGTCCACGTCCATGTCCACGTCCACGTCCACGTCCACGTCCACGTCCATGTCCACGTCCACGTCCACGTCCACGTCCACGTCCACGTCCACGTCCACGTCCACGTCCACGTCCACGTCCACCTCCACGTCCACGTCCACGTCCATGTCCACGTCCAAGTCCACGTCCATGTCCACGTCCACGTCCACGTCCACGTCCACGTCCACGTCCATGTCCACGTCCACGTCCATGTCCACGTCCACGTCCACGTCCACGTCCATGTCCACGTCCACGTCCACGTCCACGTCCACGTCCACGTCCACGTCCACGTCCACGTCCACGTCCATGTCCACGTCCACGTCCACGTCCATGTCCACGTCCACGTCCACGTCCACGTCCACGTCCACGTCCACGTCCACGTCCACGTCCACGTCCACGTCCACGTCCACGTCCACGTCCACGTCCACGTCCACGTCCACGTCCACGTCCACGTCCATGTCCACGTCCACGTCCACGTCCATGTCCATGTCCACGTCCATGTCCACGTCCATGTCCACGTCCACGTCCACGTCCATGTCCACGTCCATGTCCACGTCCACGTCCACGTCCACGTCCATGTCCACGTCCAAGTCCACGTCCATGTCCACGTCCACGTCCACGTCCACGTCCATGTCCACGTCCACGTCCATGTCCACGTCCATGTCCACGTCCACGTCCATGTCCACGTCCACGTCCACGTCCACGTCCATGTCCACGTCCACGTCCACGTCCACGTCCACGTCCACGTCCACGTCCACGTCCATGTCCACGTCCACGTCCACGTCCATGTCCACGTCCATGTCCACGTCCACGTCCATGTCCACGTCCACGTCCACGTCCATGTCCACGTCCACGTCCACGTCCATGTCCACGTCCACGTCCACGTCCACGTCCACGTCCACGTCCATGTCCATGTCCACGTCCACGTCCATGTCCACGTCCATGTCCACGTCCTTGTCCACGTCCATGTCCACGTCCACGTCCACGTCCATGTCCACGTCCATGTCCACCTCCACGTCCACGTCCACGTCCATGTCCACGTCCAAGTCCACGTCCATGTCCACGTCCACGTCCACGTCCACGTCCATGTCCACGTCCACGTCCACGTCCATGTCCACGTCCACGTCCATGTCCACGTCCACGTCCACGTCCACGTCCATGTCCACGTCCAGGTCCACGTCCACGTCCACGTCCACGTCCATGTCCACGTCCACGTCCACGTCCATGTCCACGTCCACGTCCACGTCCACGTCCATGTCCACGTCCACGTCCACGTCCACGTCCATGTCCACGTCCATCGTCCACGTCCATGTCCACGTCCACGTCCATGTCCACGTCCACGTCCATGTCCACGTCCATGTCCATGTCCACGTCCACGTCCATGTCCACGTCCACGTCCACGTCCACGTCCACGTCCACGTCCACGTCCACGTCCACGTCCACGTCCACGTCCACGTCCACGTCCACGTCCACGTCCATGTCCACGTCCACGTCCATGTCCACGTCCACGTCCACGTCCATGTCCACGTCCAAGTCCTCCACGTCCACGTCCACGTCCACGTCCTCCACGTCCACGTCCACGTCCACGTCCACGTCCTCCACGTCCACGTCCACGTCCATGTCCACGTCCACGTCCACGTCCACGTCCACGTCCACGTCCACGTCCACGTCCATGTCCACGTCCACGTCCACGTCCACGTCCACGTCCACGTCCATGTCCACGTCCACGTCCATGTCCACGTCCATCTCCACGTCCATGTCCACGTCCACGTCCACGTCCACGTCCATGTCCACGTCCACGTCCACGTCCACGTCCATGTCCACGTCCACGTCCACGTCCACGTCCACGTCCACGTCCACGTCCACGTCCACGTCCACGTCCACGTCCACGTCCACGTCCACGTCCACGTCCACGTCCACGTCCACGTCCATGTCCACGTCCACGTCCACGTCCATGTCCACGTCCACGTCCACGTCCACGTCCATGTCCACGTCCACGTCCACGTCCACGTCCATGTCCACGTCCACGTCCACGTCCACGTCCATGTCCACGTCCACGTCCACGTCCATGTCCACGTCCACGTCCACGTCCACGTCCACGTCCATGTCCACGTCCATGTCCACGTCCACGTCCACGTCCATGTCCATGTCCACGTCCATGTCCACGTCCATGTCCACGTCCACGTCCACGTCCATGTCCACGTCCATGTCCACGTCCACGTCCACGTCCATGTCCACGTCCAAGTCCACGTCCATGTCCACGTCCACGTCCACGTCCACGTCCATGTCCACGTCCACGTCCACGTCCATGTCCACGTCCACGTCCATGTCCACGTCCACGTCCACGTCCATGTCCACGTCCACGTCCACGTCCACGTCCACGTCCACGTCCACGTCCACGTCCACGTCCACGTCCACGTCCACGTCCACGTCCACGTCCACGTCCACGTCCACGTCCACGTCCACGTCCACGTCCACGTCCACGTCCATGTCCACGTCCACGTCCACGTCCATGTCCACGTCCACGTCCATGTCCACGTCCATGTCCACGTCCACGTCCACGTCCACGTCCACGTCCACGTCCACGTCCACGTCCACGTCCACGTCCACGTCCACGTCCACGTCCACGTCCACGTCCACGTCCACGTCCACGTCCACGTCCACGTCCATGTCCACGTCCACGTCCACGTCCATGTCCACGTCCACGTCCACGTCCACGTCCATGTCCACGTCCATGTCCACGTCCACGTCCACGTCCACGTCCATGTCCACGTCCACGTCCACGTCCACGTCCATGTCCACGTCCACGTCCACGTCCACGTCCATGTCCACGTCCACGTCCACGTCCATGTCCACGTCCACGTCCACGTCCACGTCCACGTCCACGTCCATGTCCACGTCCATGTCCACGTCCACGTCCACGTCCACGTCCATGTCCACGTCCATGTCCACGTCCATGTCCACGTCCACGTCCACGTCCATGTCCACGTCCATGTCCACGTCCACGTCCACGTCCATGTCCACGTCCACGTCCACGTCCATGTCCACGTCCACGTCCACGTCCACGTCCATGTCCACGTCCACGTCCACGTCCATGTCCACGTCCACGTCCATGTCCACGTCCACGTCCACGTCCACGTCCACGTCCACGTCCACGTCCACGTCCACGTCCACGTCCACGTCCACGTCCACGTCCACGTCCACGTCCACGTCCACGTCCACGTCCACGTCCACGTCCACGTCCACGTCCACGTCCACGTCCACGTCCACGTCCACGTCCACGTCCACGTCCACGTCCACGTCCACGTCCACGTCCACGTCCACGTCCATGTCCACGTCCACGTCCACGTCCACGTCCACGTCCACGTCCACGTCCACGTCCACGTCCACGTCCACGTCCACGTCCACGTCCACGTCCACGTCCACGTCCACGTCCACGTCCACGTCCATGTCCACGTCCACGTCCATGTCCACGTCCACGTCCACGTCCACGTCCATGTCCACGTCCACGTCCACGTCCACGTCCACGTCCACGTCCACGTCCATGTCCACGTCCACGTCCACGTCCACGTCCACGTCCACGTCCATGTCCACGTCCACGTCCACGTCCATGTCCACGTCCATGTCCACGTCCACGTCCATGTCCACGTCCACGTCCACGTCCATGTCCACGTCCACGTCCACGTCCATGTCCACGTCCACGTCCACGTCCACGTCCACGTCCACGTCCATGTCCACGTCCACGTCCACGTCCATGTCCACGTCCATGTCCACGTCCATGTCCACGTCCATGTCCACGTCCACGTCCACGTCCATGTCCACGTCCATGTCCACGTCCACGTCCACGTCCACGTCCATGTCCACGTCCACGTCCACGTCCATGTCCACGTCCACGTCCACGTCCACGTCCATGTCCACGTCCACGTCCACGTCCATGTCCACGTCCACGTCCATGTCCACGTCCACGTCCACGTCCACGTCCATGTCCACGTCCAGGTCCACGTCCACGTCCACGTCCACGTCCATGTCCACGTCCACGTCCACGTCCATGTCCACGTCCACGTCCACGTCCACGTCCATGTCCACGTCCACGTCCACGTCCACGTCCATGTCCACGTCCATCTGTCCACGTCCACGTCCATGTCCACGTCCATGTCCACGTCCACGTCCATGTCCACGTCCATGTCCATGTCCACGTCCACGTCCATGTCCACGTCCACGTCCACGTCCACGTCCACGTCCACGTCCACGTCCACGTCCACGTCCAGGTCCACGTCCACGTCCACGTCCACGTCCACGTCCACGTCCACGTCCATGTCCACGTCCACGTCCATGTCCACGTCCACGTCCACGTCCATGTCCACGTCCACGTCCTCCACGTCCACGTCCACGTCCTCCACGTCCACGTCCACGTCCACGTCCACGTCCACGTCCTCCACGTCCACGTCCACGTCCATGTCCACGTCCACGTCCACGTCCACGTCCACGTCCATGTCCACGTCCACGTCCATGTCCACGTCCATGTCCACGTCCATGTCCACGTCCACGTCCACGTCCACGTCCATGTCCACGTCCACGTCCACGTCCACGTCCATGTCCACGTCCACGTCCACGTCCACGTCCACGTCCACGTCCACGTCCACGTCCACGTCCACGTCCACGTCCACGTCCACGTCCACGTCCACGTCCATGTCCACGTCCACGTCCACGTCCATGTCCACGTCCACGTCCACGTCCACGTCCATGTCCACGTCCACGTCCACGTCCACGTCCATGTCCACGTCCACGTCCACGTCCACGTCCATGTCCACGTCCACGTCCACGTCCATGTCCACGTCCACGTCCACGTCCACGTCCACGTCCACGTCCATGTCCACGTCCATGTCCACGTCCACGTCCACGTCCATGTCCATGTCCACGTCCATGTCCACGTCCATGTCCACGTCCACGTCCACGTCCATGTCCACGTCCATGTCCACGTCCACGTCCACGTCCATGTCCACGTCCACGTCCACGTCCATGTCCACGTCCACGTCCACGTCCACGTCCATGTCCACGTCCACGTCCATGTCCACGTCCACGTCCATGTCCACGTCCACGTCCACGTCCATGTCCACGTCCACGTCCACGTCCACGTCCACGTCCACGTCCACGTCCACGTCCACGTCCACGTCCACGTCCACGTCCACGTCCACGTCCACGTCCACGTCCACGTCCACGTCCACGTCCACGTCCACGTCCACGTCCATGTCCACGTCCACGTCCACGTCCATGTCCATGTCCACGTCCATGTCCACGTCCATGTCCACGTCCACGTCCACGTCCATGTCCACGTCCATGTCCACGTCCACGTCCACGTCCACGTCCATGTCCACGTCCACGTCCACGTCCATGTCCACGTCCACGTCCACGTCCACGTCCACGTCCATGTCCACGTCCACGTCCACGTCCACGTCCACGTCCACGTCCACGTCCATGTCCACGTCCACGTCCACGTCCATGTCCACGTCCACGTCCATGTCCACGTCCACGTCCACGTCCACGTCCACGTCCATGTCCACGTCCACGTCCACGTCCACGTCCACGTCCACGTCCACGTCCACGTCCACGTCCACGTCCACGTCCACGTCCACGTCCACGTCCACGTCCACGTCCACGTCCACGTCCACGTCCACGTCCACGTCCACGTCCATGTCCACGTCCACGTCCACGTCCATGTCCATGTCCACGTCCTGTCCACGTCCATGTCCACGTCCACGTCCACGTCCATGTCCACGTCCATGTCCACGTCCACGTCCACGTCCACGTCCATGTCCACGTCCAAGTCCACGTCCACGTCCACGTCCACGTCCACGTCCACGTCCATGTCCACGTCCACGTCCATGTCCACGTCCACGTCCACGTCCACGTCCATGTCCACGTCCACGTCCACGTCCACGTCCACGTCCACGTCCACGTCCACGTCCACGTCCACGTCCACGTCCACGTCCACGTCCACGTCCATGTCCACGTCCACGTCCACGTCCATGTCCACGTCCATGTCCACGTCCACGTCCATGTCCACGTCCACGTCCACGTCCATGTCCACGTCCACGTCCACGTCCATGTCCACGTCCACGTCCACGTCCATGTCCACGTCCATGTCCACGTCCACGTCCACGTCCATGTCCACGTCCATGTCCACGTCCATGTCCACGTCCACGTCCACGTCCATGTCCACGTCCATGTCCACGTCCACGTCCACGTCCACGTCCACGTCCACGTCCACGTCCATGTCCATGTCCACGTCCACGTCCATGTCCACGTCCACGTCCACGTCCACGTCCATGTCCACGTCCACGTCCACGTCCATGTCCACGTCCACGTCCATGTCCACGTCCACGTCCACGTCCACGTCCATGTCCACGTCCACGTCCACGTCCACGTCCACGTCCACGTCCACGTCCATGTCCACGTCCACGTCCACGTCCACGTCCACGTCCACGTCCACGTCCATGTCCACGTCCACGTCCACGTCCATGTCCATGTCCACGTCCACGTCCACGTCCATGTCCATGTCCACGTCCATGTCCACGTCCACGTCCATGTCCACGTCCACGTCCATGTCCACGTCAGCGTCCACGTCCACGTCCACGTCCACGTCCACGTCCACGTCCACGTCCACGTCCACGTCCACGTCCACGTCCACGTCCACGTCCATGTCCACGTCCACGTCCACGTCCATGTCCACGTCCACGTCCACGTCCACGTCCACGTCCATGTCCACGTCCAAGTCCTCCACGTCCACGTCCACGTCCACGTCCTCCACGTCCACGTCCACGTCCACGTCCACGTCCTCCACGTCCACGTCCACGTCCATGTCCACGTCCACATCCACGTCCACGTCCACGTCCATGTCCACGTCCACGTCCATGTCCACGTCCATGTCCACGTCCATGTCCACGTCCACGTCCACGTCCACGTCCATGTCCACGTCCACGTCCACGTCCACGTCCATGTCCACGTCCATGTCCACGTCCACGTCCACGTCCACGTCCACGTACTCGTCCACGTCCACGTCCACGTCCACGTCCACGTCCACGTCCACGTCCACGTCCACGTCCACGTCCATGTCCACGTCCACGTCCATGTCCACGTCCACGTCCACGTCCACGTCCATGTCCACGTCCACGTCCACGTCCATGTCCACGTCCACTGGTCCACGTCCATGTCCATGTCCACGTCCACGTCCATGTCCACGTCCACGTCCATGTCCACGTCCATGTCCACGTCCATGTCCATGTCCACGTCCACGTCCATGTCCACGTCCATGTCCACGTCCACGTCCACGTCCACGTCCACGTCCACGTCCACGTCCATGTCCACGTCCACGTCCATGTCCATGTCCACGTCCACGTCCACGTCCACGTCCACGTCCACGTCCATGTCCATGTCCACGTCCACGTCCACGTCCACGTCCACGTCCACGTCCACGTCCACGTCCACGTCCACGTCCACGTCCACGTCCACGTCCACGTCCACGTCCATGTCCACGTCCACGTCCACGTCCACGTCCATGTCCACGTCCATGTCCACGTCCACGTCCACGTCCACGTCCACGTCCACGTCCACGTCCACGTCCACGTCCACGTCCACGTCCACGTCCATGTCCACGTCCACGTCCACGTCCACGTCCATGTCCATGTCCACGTCCACGTCCATGTCCACGTCCACGTCCACGTCCATGTCCACGTCCATGTCCACGTCCATGTCCACGTCCACGTCCACGTCCACGTCCATGTCCACGTCCATGTCCACGTCCATGTCCACGTCCACGTCCACGTCCACGTCCACGTCCACGTCCACGTCCACGTCCACGTCCACGTCCACGTCCACGTCCACGTCCACGTCCACGTCCACGTCCATGTCCACGTCCACGTCCACGTCCATGTCCACGTCCATGTCCACGTCCACGTCCATGTCCACGTCCACGTCCACGTCCATGTCCACGTCCACGTCCACGTCCATGTCCACGTCCACGTCCACGTCCACGTCCACGTCCACGTCCACGTCCACGTCCACGTCCACGTCCACGTCCACGTCCACGTCCACGTCCACGTCCACGTCCACGTCCATGTCCACGTCCATGTCCACGTCCATGTCCACGTCCACGTCCACGTCCACGTCCACGTCCACGTCCACGTCCACGTCCACGTCCACGTCCACGTCCACGTCCACGTCCACGTCCACGTCCACGTCCATGTCCACGTCCACGTCCACGTCCATGTCCACGTCCATGTCCACGTCCACGTCCACGTCCACGTCCACGTCCACGTCCACGTCCACGTCCACGTCCACGTCCATGTCCACGTCCATGTCCACGTCCACGTCCACGTCCATGTCCACGTCCATGTCCACGTCCATGTCCACGTCCACGTCCATGTCCACGTCCATGTCCACGTCCACGTCCACGTCCACGTCCATGTCCACGTCCACGTCCACGTCCATGTCCACGTCCACGTCCACGTCCACGTCCATGTCCACGTCCACGTCCACGTCCACGTCCACGTCCACGTCCATGTCCACGTCCACGTCCACGTCCATGTCCACGTCCACGTCCACGTCCATGTCCACGTCCACGTCCACGTCCATGTCCACGTCCTCCACGTCCACGTCCACGTCCACGTCCTCCACGTCCACGTCCACGTCCACGTCCTCCACGTCCACGTCCACGTCCATGTCCACGTCCACGTCCACGTCCATGTCCACGTCCACGTCCATGTCCACGTCCATCTCCACGTCCATGTCCACGTCCACGTCCACGTCCACGTCCATGTCCACGTCCACGTCCACGTCCACGTCCATGTCCACGTCCATGTCCACGTCCACGTCCACGTCCACGTCCACGTCCACGTCCACGTCCACGTCCACGTCCACGTCCACGTCCACGTCCACGTCCACGTCCACGTCCACGTCCACGTCCACGTCCATGTCCACGTCCACGTCCACGTCCATGTCCACGTCCACGTCCACGTCCACGTCCATGTCCACGTCCACGTCCACGTCCATGTCCACGTCCATACGTCCACGTCCATGTCCATGTCCACGTCCATGTCCACGTCCACGTCCATGTCCACGTCCATGTCCATGTCCACGTCCACGTCCATGTCCACGTCCATGTCCACGTCCACGTCCACGTCCACGTCCACGTCCACGTCCACGTCCATGTCCACGTCCACGTCCATGTCCATGTCCACGTCCACGTCCACGTCCACGTCCACGTCCACGTCCAAGTCCATGTCCACGTCCATGTCCACGTCCACGTCCACGTCCACGTCCACGTCCACGTCCACGTCCACGTCCACGTCCACGTCCACGTCCACGTCCACGTCCACGTCCATGTCCACGTCCACGTCCACGTCCACGTCCATGTCCACGTCCACGTCCACGTCCATGTCCACGTCCACGTCCACGTCCACGTCCATGTCCACGTCCACGTCCACGTCCATGTCCACGTCCACGTCCACGTCCACGTCCACGTCCACGTCCATGTCCACGTCCACGTCCACGTCCACGTCCATGTCCATGTCCACGTCCACGTCCACGTCCACGTCCACGTCCACGTCCATGTCCACGTCCATGTCCACGTCCACGTCCACGTCCACGTCCATGTCCACGTCCACGTCCACGTCCATGTCCACGTCCACGTCCACGTCCATGTCCACGTCCACGTCCACGTCCACGTCCACGTCCACGTCCATGTCCACGTCCACGTCCACGTCCATGTCCACGTCCACGTCCACGTCCATGTCCACGTCCACGTCCATGTCCAAGTCCTCCACGTCCACGTCCACGTCCTCCACGTCCACGTCCACGTCCACGTCCTCCACGTCCACGTCCACGTCCATGTCCACGTCCACGTCCACGTCCACGTCCATGTCCACGTCCACGTCCATGTCCACGTCCATGTCCACGTCCATGTCCACGTCCACGTCCACGTCCACGTCCATGTCCACGTCCACGTCCACGTCCACGTCCATGTCCACGTCCATGTCCACGTCCACGTCCATGTCCACGTCCACGTCCACGTCCACGTCCACGTCCACGTCCACGTCCACGTCCACGTCCACGTCCACGTCCACGTCCACGTCCACGTCCACGTCCACGTCCATGTCCACGTCCACGTCCACGTCCATGTCCACGTCCACGTCCACGTCCACGTCCATGTCCACGTCCACGTCCACGTCCACGTCCATGTCCACGTCCACGTCCACGTCCATGTCCATGTCCACGTCCATGTCCACGTCCACGTCCATGTCCACGTCCATGTCCATGTCCACGTCCACGTCCATGTCCACGTCCATGTCCACGTCCACGTCCACGTCCACGTCCACGTCCACGTCCACGTCCATGTCCACGTCCACGTCCACGTCCACGTCCACGTCCATGTCCATGTCCACGTCCACGTCCACGTCCACGTCCACGTCCACGTCCACGTCATGTCCATGTCCACGTCCACGTCCACGTCCACGTCCACGTCCACGTCCACGTCCACGTCCACGTCCACGTCCACGTCCACGTCCACGTCCACGTCCACGTCCACGTCCACGTCCATGTCCACGTCCACGTCCACGTCCACGTCCACGTCCAGTCCACGTCCATGTCCACGTCCACGTCCACGTCCACGTCCACGTCCACGTCCACGTCCACGTCCACGTCCACGTCCACGTCCACGTCCATGTCCACGTCCACGTCCACGTCCATGTCCATGTCCACGTCCACGTCCACGTCCATGTCCACGTCCACGTCCACGTCCACGTCCATGTCCACGTCCACGTCCACGTCCATGTCCACGTCCACGTCCACGTCCACGTCCACGTCCAAGTCCATGTCCACGTCCATGTCCACGTCCACGTCCACGTCCACGTCCACGTCCACGTCCATGTCCACGTCCACGTCCACGTCCACGTCCACGTCCACGTCCACGTCCATGTCCACGTCCACGTCCACGTCCACGTCCATGTCCACGTCCACGTCCACGTCCATGTCCACGTCCACGTCCACGTCCACGTCCACGTCCACGTCCATGTCCACGTCCATGTCCACGTCCACGTCCATGTCCACGTCCATGTCCACGTCCATGTCCACGTCCACGTCCACGTCCATGTCCACGTCCACGTCCACGTCCACGTCCATGTCCACGTCCACGTCCATGTCCATGTCCACGTCCACGTCCACGTCCATGTCCACGTCCACGTCCACGTCCACGTCCACGTCCACGTCCACGTCCACGTCCATGTCCACGTCCACGTCCACGTCCACGTCCACGTCCACGTCCATGTCCACGTCCATGTCCACGTCCACGTCCACGTCCATGTCCATGTCCACGTCCACGTCCACGTCCATGTCCACGTCCACGTCCATGTCCACGTCCATGTCCACGTCCACGTCCACGTCCATGTCCACGTCCAAGTCCACGTCCATGTCCACGTCCACGTCCACGTCCACGTCCATGTCCACGTCCACGTCCACGTCCATGTCCACGTCCACGTCCATGTCCACGTCCACGTCCATGTCCACGTCCACGTCCACGTCCACGTCCACGTCCACGTCCACGTCCACGTCCACGTCCACGTCCACGTCCACGTCCACGTCCACGTCCACGTCCACGTCCACGTCCACGTCCACGTCCACGTCCACGTCCATGTCCACGTCCACGTCCACGTCCACGTCCATGTCCACGTCCACGTCCACGTCCATGTCCACGTCCACGTCCACGTCCATGTCCACGTCCATGTCCACGTCCACGTCCACGTCCACGTCCATGTCCACGTCCACGTCCACGTCCATGTCCACGTCCACGTCCACGTCCACGTCCACGTCCACGTCCACGTCCACGTCCACGTCCATGTCCACGTCCACGTCCACGTCCACGTCCACGTCCACGTCCACGTCCACGTCCACGTCCACGTCCACGTCCACGTCCACGTCCACGTCCACGTCCACGTCCACGTCCATGTCCACGTCCATGTCCACGTCCACGTCCATGTCCACGTCCACGTCCACGTCCACGTCCAGTCCACGTCCACGTCCACGTCCATGTCCACGTCCACGTCCACGTCCACGTCCACGTCCATGTCCACGTCCATGTCCACGTCCACGTCCACGTCCACGTCCATGTCCACGTCCATGTCCACGTCCATGTCCACGTCCACGTCCACGTCCATGTCCACGTCCATGTCCACGTCCACGTCCACGTCCACGTCCATGTCCACGTCCACGTCCACGTCCATGTCCACGTCCACGTCCACGTCCACGTCCACGTCCATGTCCACGTCCACGTCCACGTCCACGTCCACGTCCACGTCCACGTCCATGTCCACGTCCACGTCCACGTCCACGTCCACGTCCACGTCCACGTCCACGTCCACGTCCACGTCCATGTCCACGTCCACGTCCACGTCCATGTCCACGTCCACGTCCACGTCCACGTCCATGTCCACGTCCACGTCCACGTCCACGTCCATGTCCACGTCCATGTCCACGTCCACGTCCATGTCCACGTCCACGTCCACGTCCACGTCCACGTCCATGTCCACGTCCACGTCCACGTCCACGTCCACGTCCACGTCCACGTCCACGTCCACGTCCACGTCCACGTCCACGTCCACGTCCACGTCCACGTCCACGTCCACGTCCATGTCCACGTCCACGTCCACGTCCACGTCCACGTCCACGTCCACGTCCACGTCCACGTCCACGTCCAAGTCCTCCACGTCCACGTCCACGTCCACGTCCTCCACGTCCACGTCCACGTCCACGTCCACGTCTCCACGTCCACGTCCACGTCCATGTCCACGTCCACGTCCACGTCCACGTCCACGTCCACGTCCATGTCCACGTCCACGTCCATGTCCACGTCCATCTCCACGTCCATGTCCACGTCCATGTCCACGTCCACGTCCACGTCCACGTCCATGTCCACGTCCATGTCCACGTCCACGTCACGTCCACGTCCACGTCCACGTCCACGTCCACGTCCATGTCCACGTCCACGTCCACGTCCACGTCCACGTCCACGTCCATGTCCACGTCCACGTCCACGTCCATGTCACGTCCACGTCCACGTCCACGTCCATGTCCACGTCCACGTCCACGTCCATGTCCACGTCCACGTATGGTCCACGTCCACGTCCACGTCCACGTCCATGTCCACGTCCACCCACGTCCATGTCCACGTCCACGTCCATGTCCACGTCACGTCCATGTCCACGTCCACGTCCACGTCCACGTCCACGTCCACGTCCACGTCCACGTCCACGTCCACGTCCACGTCCACGTCCACGTCCACGTCCACGTCCATGTCCACGTCCATGTCCACGTCCACGTCCATGTCCACGTCCACGTCACGTCCACGTCCACGTCCACGTCCTCCACGTCCACGTCCACGTCCACGTCCTCCACGTCCACGTCCACGTCCACGTCCACGTCCTCCACGTCCACGTCCACGTCCACGTCCACGTCCACGTCCACGTCCACGTCCACGTCCATGTCCACGTCCACGTCCATGTCCACGTCCATGTCCACGTCCATGTCCACGTCCATGTCCACGTCCACGTCCACGTCCACGTCCACGTCCACGTCCATGTCCACGTCCACGTCCACACGTCCACGTCCACGTCCACGTCCACGTCCATGTCCACGTCCACGTCCACGTCCACGTCCACGTCCATGTCCACGTCACCATGTCCACGTCCATGTCCACGTCCACGTCCACGTCCACGTCCATGTCCACGTCACGTCCACGTCCACGTCCATGTCCACGTCCATCTGTCCACGTCCACGTCCACGTCCACGTCCATGTCACGTCCACGTCCACGTCACGTCCACGTCCACGTCCATGTCCATGTCCACGTCCACGTCCATGTCCACGTCCACGTCCACGTCCATGTCCACGTCCAGTCCACGTCCACGTCCACGTCCATGTCCACGTCCACGTCCACGTCCATGTCCACGTCCACGTCCACGTCCACGTCACGTCCACGTCACGTCCATGTCCACGTCCACGTCCACGTCCACGTCCACGTCCAGGTCCACGTCCACGTCCCGCATGTCCACGTCCACGTCCACGTCCACGTCCACGTCCACGTCCACGTCCACGTCCACGTCCACGTCCATGTCCACGTCCATGTCCACGTCCACGTCCATGTCCACGTCCACGTCCACGTCCATGTCCACGTCCGTCCCACGTCCACGTCCACGTCGTCCACGTCCACGTCCACGTCCACGTTCCACGTCCACGTCCACGTCCATGTCCACGTCCAGTCCATGTCCACGTCCACGTCCATGTCCACGTCCAAGTCCTCCAAGTCCACGTCCACGTCCATGTCCATGTCCACGTCACGTCCACGTCCACGTCCACGTCCACGTCCATGTCCACGTCCACGTCCACGTCCATGTCCACGTCCAGTCCTCCACGTCCACGTCCACGTCCACGCGTCCACGTCCACGTCCACGTCCACGTCCACGTCATCACGTCCACGTCCACGTCCATGTCCACGTCCACGTCCGTCCACGTCCATGTCCACGTCCACGTCCACGTCCACGTCCACGTCCACGTCCGTCCACGTCCACGTCCACGTCACGTCCATGTCCACGTCCATGTCCACGTCCATGTCCACGTCCACGTCCACGTCCACGTCCACGTCCACGTCACGTCCACGTCCACGTCCATGTCCACGTCCACGTCCACGTCCACGTCCACGTCCACGTCCATGTCCACGTCCACGTCCACGTCCACGTCCACGTCCATGTCCACGTCCATGTCCACGTCCACGTCCATGTCCACGTCCACGTCCACGTCCACGTCCACGTCCACGTCATGTCCACGTCCACGTCCACGTCCACGTCCACGTCCATGTCCACGTCCATGTCGTCCACGTCCACGTCCACGTCCATGTCCACGTCCACGTCCACGTCCACGTCCATGTCCACGTCCACGTCCACGTCCACGTCCATGTCCATGTCCACGTCCACGTCCACGTCCACGTCCACGTCCATGTCCACGTCCACGTCCACGTCCACGTCCACGTCCACGTCCACGTCCACGTCCATGTCCACGTCCACGTCCACGTCCACGTCCACGTCCATGTCCACGTCCACGTCCACGTCCAGTCCAGTCCATGTCCACGTCCACGTCCACGCCATGTCCACGTCCAAGTCCACGTCCACGTCCATGTCCACGTCCACGTCCATGTCCACGTCCATGTCCACGTCCACGTCCACGTCCACGTCCATGTCCACGTCCACGTCCACGTCCACGTCCACGTCACGTCCACGTCCACGTCCATCACGTCCAGGTCCACGTCCACGTCCACGTCCAGGTCCACGTCCACGTCCACGTCCACGTCCACGTCCAGTCCACGTCCACGTCCATGTCCACGTCCACGTCCATGTCCACGTCCACGTCCACGTCCATGTCCACGTCCAAGTCCCCACGTCCACGTCCACGTCCACGTCCTCCACGTCCACGTCCACGTCCACGTCCACGTCCTCCACGTCCACGTCCACGTCCATGTCCACGTCCACGTCCACGTCCACGTCCACGTCCATGTCCACGTCCACGTCCACGTCCACGTCCATGTCCACGTCCATGTCCACGTCCATGTCCACGTCCACGTCCACGTCCACGTCCATGTCCACGTCCATGTCCACGTCACGTCCACGTCCACGTCCACGTCCACGTCCACGTCCACGTCCATGTCCACGTCCACGTCCACGTCCACGTCCACGTCCATGTCCACGTCCACGTCCACGTCCATGTCCACGTCCACGTCCACGTCCACGTCCATGTCCACGTCCACGTCCACGTCCACGTCCATGTCCACGTCCATGTCCACGTCCCGTCCATTCCACGTCCACGTCCACGTCCACGTCCACGTCCACGTCCACGTCCACGTCCACGTCCATGTCCACGTCCACGTCCACGTCCACGTCCACGTCCATGACGTCACGTCCACGTCCACGTCCATGTCCATGTCCACGTCCATGTCCACGTCCACGTCCACGTCCACGTCCACGGTCCACGTCCACGTCCACGTCCACGTCCACGTCCATGTCCAGTCCACGTCCACGTCCACGTCCATGTCCACGTCCACGTCACGTCCACGTCCATGCCACGTCCCCACGTCCACGTCCACGTCCACGTCCATGTCCACGTCCAGTCCACGTCCACGTCCACGTCCACGTCCACGTCCACGTCCACGTCCACGTCCACGTCCACGTCACGTCCACGTCCACGTCCATTGTCCATGTCCACGTCCGTCCACGTCCTCCACGTCCACGTCCACGTCCACGTCCACGTCCTCCACGTCCACGTCCACGTCCATGTCCACGTCCACGTCCACGTCCACGTCCACGTCCACGTCCACGTCCATGTCCACGTCATCTCCATTCCATGTCCACGTCCATGCCACGTCCACGTCCACGTCCACGTCCATGTCACGTCCATGTCCACGTCCACGTCCACGTCACACGTCCACGTCCACGTCCACGTCCACGTCCATGTCCACGTCCACGTCCACGTCCACGTCCACGTCCATGTCCACGTCCACGTCCACGTCCATGTCCACGTCACCACGTCCACGTCCACGTCCATGTCCACGTCCACGTCCACGTCCACGTCATGTCCACGTCACGTCCACGTCCACGTCCACGTCCATGTCCACGTCCATGTCCACGTCCACGTCCACGTCCAGTCCATGTCCATGTCCACGTCCACGTCCATGTCCACGTCCATGTCCACGTCCACGTCCACGTCCACGTCCACAATCCACGTCCAGTCCATGTCCACGTCCACGTCCATGTCCACGTCCACGTCCAGTCCACGTCCACGTCCACGTCCACGTCCACGTCCACGTCCATGTCCACGTCCACGTCCACGTCCACGTCCACGTCCACGTCCACGTCCAGCGTCCACGTCCACGTCCACGTCCACGTCCAGGTCCACGTCCACGTCCACGTCCACGTCCACGTCCACGTCCATGTCCCCCACGTCCGTCACGTCCACGTCCATGTCCACGTCCACGTCACGTCCATGTCCACGTCCAGTCCTCCACGTCCACGTCCA